CAACCCCCAAATATGTTTGCAAAGATTGCCCAGCAGATACATCTCGTACGACACTTACCGATAATAGACGGTGACTTTCCCGAATCCCGGTCCAAACACTGACGAGCATTCTCTTTCAGACTGATATTGATAAAATACTCATCATCCTTACAAACAAAACTCCCTCTGGGCAGTTCTGCATCAAATCCCAGGAAATAATTGAATTGCTCATCAGATTTGTGTAATAGCAGGTCACCCAGAACCCGAATCACAATGCCACCGAGTACAATGAACACACAAATCACACACGCCATGTGACATGTATGCGTGCGCGCGTGTGCTTTCAAATTACTGGCTCATATTGATTAGATAGGCAGCAAGTTTCGGTCCGGAATCTGTGAGGATAAGGATTCGCTTTTTTGGTCCAGTTTAGTGAACTCTATCTGCTTATCATTCTCATTGCTACTTTCACACGGTTTTGTTCCGCTTGTCCTTCAGGGCGACCAACATATCGTTGAATGAGAAGTATTACTAGTTCGCAGTTTACTTCCACTATCCTCCGTCTCCTCAGAGGAACCGATCACGAGAGAAGATGCATATGTGGTTTGTGAAAATTCGATATGAGCTGAATAGCACGGTCTCTGTGGTAACACACTATCTCTCCATTTAGAATATCAGGCACTGCTGACGAGTCCCAAACAGGACGGAACAGCTGTCCAATGCTCTTTGTTGTTTATCACAAACATTTTCAACGCACTATCTCTCCTTTTAAAAAGCATTCCCTTTTATCATGTGAAGAACCTACTATTTTTGTTGACAATTATCACGAGTTTTTATATGACCTCGGATTTAACATAAATTCTGGTGAGTTCTGGCGTGCTCTAGCCCTCTGTAAATTTCATACTGCAGGTCTAAATAAATGTGTCAGAGCTCGTTATCGACTTTGCTCTGGCTCGGGGATATTCCTCGGGATCGAAGCAAAAAGATCGATAGAATGACTTCTTTACGCGTGATCTAGGTGCTGAATTGGTGATCCCGTTTTTTTCAGCACGTCACCAGCTGAGCGGACACACCTAAAGAAATCAATCAATCAATCTTATTGCTTCGATCCCGAGGAATAACCCGGAGCGAGAACAAAGTTGATGACGAGCTTTGACACATTTAGACCTGCAGTGTGAAATTTATAGAGGGCAAGCGCACGCCGGAACTCACCGGAATTTGTGGCAAGTCGCAGGTCGTATCAGATCGCGTGATTGTTAGCAGTAAAAAATAAGGTCTTCATGTGCGAAAATGAAGTGGTGTTGAAAGGGCAAAATAGTGTCACTCCATTTCTAATTCGTATAGCGACTATTGATTAAAATCAGAGCATTCGATGGAAGTTACTAAGACATTTAATATCTTAGGCAGTGAATCGAAAGCTATTATGTGGCATGACAGCTTGTCGGTAAAGAGATATCATCGGTTGACTCAGCCAATTAGTGAGTAAGAATTTGCTCTAATGATCACCACACGCTCTAAGCTGATTTGCTGAATATAGTGTGACGTAACAAATGCACAATGTCGAACTGGCCACATGATTTCCTGCACTGTCAAACAGGAAAGGACACATGAACCAATCACCGTTCAGGAAGCCCGGCGAATGGTACACCGGGCGAATATGACATCCGAGTTAGTACATATGATGCGTCAGCACAAACGGTTACGTGATGGAAGGACGGTAGTTCAACCAATCATATGGCCTATTACATTCTCAAAAACACGCTCTAATTCCATCCATGCACATAAGCGTTTGCTGCTATCAATTCCTCGTGTATTTCATTGGTGTCCGCAGTTCGGGTTGGAGCCAATTCAGTTCTGAGCAGTACATTACGGGTTCTCGTATTCCTACATTCGGTACTATTCCGAAGATCGCAGTATTGGCTTCTCGTACGCGGTGTGAGACTGTACCGACGCGTTACACAAGCAAATCCAAAGCGTGTCACCCGCGCAGTGTGGGTCGAAGCAACATGCAAAGGGTAGCCATAGCGCGAATAACTGGAAGATGATCAATGTGCGTACTAAGCGTACACCCGATGAGGTGCCATAGAGTAAAACAGTGG